AGTAGAGAGAGAGATGCATAGTGAGGCAATCGCGAAAGCAAGGTAGGTTATCTAGAAGTTACTCGTATTGCCGAACCGAATGACTGTGATGAACATTTCATTCTCCTTCCTCGTTCGCTCTCCTCCCCTCCTGTTCTTCGTCACTCGGTGAAACCGTTCGTCAGGTGGTCTGACATTAGTAGGAAACCGCTTTAACTTGCAAAGACTAGTAATTATAAAGACTTGCAGCCGAGATCTCTGAAACCACGCGCCCACATTCCGAGCGAATGCATTCGGATAAGCCACGAATGAATTAAGGTCAGGCTGCATAGCAATCGGAATGGTACAAAGTTCGTTTAAGTTCGAAGGTACGCACAGAATTCGTTTAAAATAATGCTTCAAGCATCTTTAGAACGAATGTGGAATTGATAAGTTTTTTTCACTTTTAGCATATTCTGCTCATGATGATTTTCTTCTCCTTTAATGTACAATTGAATAAATAATGTACAATTAATTTGATGAAATCGTTTTTATTTGTAGAGAATAATAAATCGATAAGTTTATGATTAATATTCGGCTGCAGTAGATTTAAAAATTATGTCAAATGCCTCTCTGACGTATATCTTGTGTTAATCCTAGATAAAATAGTTCGCGTCTGCGTTGCATTTCAAAATTAAGCTGCTAATTTTTGTCAGCTTTTTGTGTAGGACCTGTTTATAAATTTTTCAGGGATTTTGCCTTAAAATCTACAGTCACCCTAGCAAATCACTTTGGTATTCGGGTCGCATTTAAAATTTGCATAGTTCGCATGAGGATCGCGATTATAATAAAATACGCGGGGGATTTATTTTATAAAAATAACAATCTCTCGCTTTTTTATATAATAAATAAAATTAATCTGTTCTCCCCTCGTGCCCGTGTAAAATACGAAATCTTCTACTTCCATGTAGCTTACTTAAAAATGTCGCTTTAAACGACATATCAATCTCGATACTGCGATAATATCGCAGTCAACATATAAAATGGGAGAAAACACGGTAAAATTCACAAACTCAAACTCCACTCCACTCGGGCGGCGTTGTCGTCGGTAAAACGCGCATTTTAATTTTCGTTCATTCGTCCGGCTAACTCCATCGCGTGGATTAATGTCATCCCGGCCGCGTTCAACGCGGCGCGGCCAAGTTAATTCGACGTGATCATGCGAACGCGCGAGAAAGAGAGAGAGAGAGAGAGAGAGAGAGAGAGAGAGAGAGAGAGAGAGAGAGAGAGAGAG